TTGCCCTAGTAATTTAATTAACAAAATAAAAGTTTCAAGTCTTACTGGTTTCAAATGGGGTCAGATTGTTGGTTGTCAAGGAGAGACAATGAAAAGAAATGACATTTTCACAAATGGGAACGGGGGGCAGTGCCCTGGGTTTGGAAAGGCACAAAGACAGCATGGCAAGCTGCTAGCTGAGGACAGGTGCAGTCTCCAGAAGCCTGGGTTCAGAGTGGACCACAAGCTTGCCACAAGTCAGTTAACAGAAAAACAGCATTTTTAAAGTACATTATAGAGTAGGTTCATGTGCTTTTGAGAGAAGCAGATTATAGAGTTCAGAGTCAAAGTACCTAGAATCAAACTCTGACCCTGAATGATTTGTTGCTGGGGATGGGGCTTCTCAGTGCCTCAGTCACCTCTTCTGTAAACTGGGAATATCACAGCACCTATTTCACAGAGCAAGCATGTTAATAAAATAAGCACCACTGAAGTGCTAGCAACTGTTACCAGAAAAGAAAGAGTCCGRTAGCAAGCATGCAGATATATTCTTAGCTCTCAGCAAAGTAGGTTATGGTATAAAAATACCATTAAATAGTAACTAAACTAGCGTCACCTTAATGCGCATCTTGCCAGCAACCTCAGCATGTGCAACTTCTTTTTAAACTACCCTACATTAAAGAATCAAGACAAGAACTTCTCTGGCCTTCTTGGAGACAGACCAGTAGGCCTGAGGTCACTCACCCCTTCCTCACCTGGAGAAGCCACCCTCAGGCCAGGACCTAGGGACCCAGCCCTGCCTGTGGGTGGGTAAGTGGCCAAGTCCTAACACATCTTGCACCCCAGTATCCCACAGAGCAAGGTACAAGAGAGAAGGCAAAGTAACGAGAGTCCTGAGGAGGGAAAGGCAACTGGGGGAGGGATAGTGTTTGGGACAGCCTGGCTGAGTAGCCCAAGAAAATGGAGCCTGTCATTGGCAAAGACCCGGAGACAGGAAGGGACTGATGTACCAGAGGAAGGGAGGAGGAAAGCAAATACAAGATTCCTCCTCCACTCCATTCCTGTCTTCCCTGGCAACCGCTTCAAAGCAAGGAAGTCTCAAAAATTGATCTGCTCTGAATTTCTGAAGTTTATCTATTAACTACCTAGCAGGCCATCCACTGGTTCAGAGTAGGCCTGCTGGCAGAAAGCAGGAGCAAACAGCAATACCTCCAGTGAGTGGGCAGGTTACACATGCCCCAGAATGCAGCCTGCTCTCTACTTCCTGGGGTCCAGTGGAGGAGTCAAGGACACATCAAGGTCAATTCTAGGCCTAACTGAGGTTTGGGGATTGCTRGGAGGAATGGGAGATACCCTGGGCTGGAAGTCAAGGACATACCCGCTGCCTAAATTTGGGCAAGTTGCTGATCTTCCCAAGAGTTTCTGTAGTTGTAGTACAGAGGTGGAGGGAAAGCGTTCCTGGACAGCTCAAATAATATCAAACATTTAAAGTTCCACACCCATTAGATGCTGTGACCACATGGGCCATGGCCCCAGTCCTCTGGAGGGGTTCATGAACTCCTGAAATTACATACAAAACCTCATGGGAACTRTTTCCCTCTAAGGAGATCATCTATATTTTAAGGCAACAATGACTTCCCAAAAGTGAAAGATTCACAAGCTAGAACCCAGAATGTGAGACACTTCCTGCCCATAAACCTTCACCACCTGCCTGTGCCAGGGAGAGCAGCACCAAGGGCAGGGGTATCCACAACACAACTAGTGGGAGTTGACATGGCAGGGTAGACCCTCACTGACAACCCCACTGACAGGGATAAACCCCAAAGAAACTCTCACCCCTGCACTAGCGAACACATGCACAGTGTTGGTCTCGTGGTGGGTAAGAGTGCAAAGCAGGAAGCAAATCTAGACTCCCATCAGGAGGAAAGCAGATGAGACGTGGTGTTCATACGATGGATCACCACGCAGCAGTCGGCGACCACAATTTATTGGTGCGCACAGATGTCAATAAGACTATGCTGAGAAAACACGTGAAAGAATCCCACATATTAGTGTGGATACTTCTATCTCCCAGGCTCAAGAGCCCGGGAGAAAGGATACAAATGTCTAACAGCAGTCAGAGGAAAATGGGTTACTTAACATTTATTTGTAATGCTTTACTTTTCATAACTTTAAAACAGGACTTAAACCAAAATGATGAATAGTTTTCAATTCTGGGTAGAAGAGACAGGAGTGTTCATTTTGTTTATCCTAGAATTTCTGGATTTTAAAAATCTATCTAATAAAAAAAAAGTAAACTGTACTGTTATTTGGTCCGTGTGGACTGAGGGTTTTCCTCCTTTGCTCTGTGTCGGCTTGCAGGACCTAGGCTAGAGGTGGCTCCGTATCCCAGCATATGGGCCTCCGGGCAAATGTCCACGAGCCCCACGGAGTTGGGCAAGGAAGGGCACATACTGCAGCACCGTCACTGGGGACAAGTGGAGCAGGCCCCAGAAAGTATCTCTCCTTGGCCAGTTGACTTTCTGCCCAAGTGTCCAGGGAAAGATCAGRAGCAGAGACAGCCGAGAAGGCAAAGGCCAACGCCCCATCACACACACGCAGCTGTGGGCCTGTGACCCTGTCCTTCAGCCAAGCAGGGAGTCAGCCTGACTGGGTGCCAGGACTATGGCTTTAAATAAACTTGGATGTGTCCACCTGGGGCTGGGAAGCAACACCACTGTGCCCCAGGCAGGCGCTATCAACAATTGTCGGACATGGCCATGGCAGGATGGGCCTGAGTTCCCCCAGCTTGGCCTAGGGGTGTCTTGCCCTCCAAATATACTTCCTGCATTTGGCCCTGGCACCTAGCAAACTCCACAAATGAATGCTAGGCTGAACCAACTCATTCTGGCTAGGATTCCTAGCCTCTGGTCCCAGGTCCCAGTGGACCCCTTGACCTGAGGCTTCATTCCTTGCCTGATCACATGCCTGGTCTCCCCATGTGCTCCTTTATGATGAGGGCTCATTGTCTTGCCTGTCTACAGAAGGAGCTGGTGGCCCCAGCTCTCACCTGTCTGAGCCCTCTGTCTCACCTGCCATCAGCCCTCTCAACCTCCACCCCCCAGCGTGGGTGACAATAACCAACAGCTGCTAGACCCAGAGGCTCAGGGGAGGGCTGGTCACTTACGCTATCGCTCAACTCAGGGAAGCTCACACCAAAGCGAAGAAAGGAAGAGCAGTGGTGAGCTGCAGACTGGGAAACCAGGGCAAATTGGGAGGTCCTGAAAGGGGCTTCTTGGAGCAGACTGGTGAGGCCTGAGCACAAGCACAAAAGAAGACAAGAAGCTTCCCCAGGAAGAAGAGACTACCCCCCTGCTGCCTCTTCCTGACAGAACCAGGCAGGCACACTGACTGCTGCCATCTGCCCCGCAGTGCAGGACACAGCTCTGGAGGAGACAGGATGGACACGAATAGAGCCACTCAACTGAGGGTCTGAGAGCTGGAGAGCCAGCCCCYCACCCACAGCCCTGGGCCTTCTGTCCACATAGGAAGCCAGCTCACCCCCACCTAAGGGCTCCCAACCTGTCACCCTCTTCCTCACAGGCCTCCATCCCCCAGACAGCTCCTGGAAGCTTCTTCAAGACCTGTGTCCCTGGGGCCCACAGGGAGGAGCACACAGTGAGGATGAGGATGTCCCCTGGGTGGCTCTCCAGGTCCACCCAACCCCCACCCCTTGCTATCCAGCATAGACTTCCTCTCTGTCACTTCACTGTGTTCCTCACCCCCCAGGCCTGACCCGATTCCTCTCTACACGTGCAGGGAAGTGGGGAATGCGCACACCCCCACACTCCTCCAGCTGGGCACTCCACAATTATCAATGATCAGCGTCCCTCGCCCACCACAAGGTTTCACCAGACGCTTTTTTAGTAAAGGAAAAAAAGGATTTGCTGCTGGATGTGTAATAGGAAATCTCGCCAGCGCGCCCCCACCGCGCAGGAGGGGTGGGGGAGGGGGGAGGAGATGGGGATCTGGAGTTCTCAAACCAGCCCCAAGGGATGCCAAGTGCAGCTACCCAGACTCAGAGAGGAGACCCCACGTTAGAGACGAGGCCCCTGAAGGGCTTCTTGGTCTCTGACCCAAGGGGCAAAGCCAGGTCTGGACACTCCAAACTAGGGCTCCCGCCCCCACATTGTTCACGCTGCGGAGCACAGTAAGAGGAGCCAGGGCACCTGTTCCCCGTGAGGCCCTACCTGAAATAAGCTTCCAAACCCCCTCCTTTCAACCAATCACCACCACAAAAAATAATGCTCCAAAATCCAGTCTCCACCTGCCTCGATGACCCCAAAGTCAGAAGCCCAATCGGGTTCCCCGCCTCACCCCCTCATTTCCCACCCTGATGACCTGATCCAGGCTCTTTGACCTCTTCCCCCGCTCTCCAAATTCGTTTCCAGAAGAATCTGGGGGRAAAATCCTCCAGAACCCAGATTCCTCAAGAGACCCCTGGCAGAAGCTGCTCCCACGCCGGCACCCCCCGCACAGATGGGGCCACGCGCAGAAGCAGGCGGGAGCAGGTCCGCCACCCCCGCCGCCTGCCGCTCTGGTGGGGGTGGGGACAGCGTTCCCACACGGGGGATGACCCCCTGGGGCCACGACTGACCCCTCCCGGAGCTCCAGGCCCGACTGTCACCCCCATGTGCCCCTCCTCTCTGACCTCCCCGCCGCCAAATGCGTCACGTCTGTCCGGCGCTCCGGGGACACCTGCTGCCGCCCCCGCCGCGCCGAGTCCAGAACCTCGAGTCCGGGCCCCGGCCGAGCCACCGAGCTGGGCAGGGCCGTACACGCTGCGGTCCAGCAGCCGGGCCCAGCACCGAAGCTCGAGGGTCAGGCCCGCGCGGGGCCGTGCGGTAGGGCCGGGAACCCGGAGGAGCCGGGGGCGCGCGGGGCCGCAGTGCGCTCGGAACCCGCGGCGCGGAGGGTCCCAGTTCCCCGGGGCCCCACTCCTCTGGGGTCCCAGGCCAGGACGCGCGCGCCTCGGCTCTTACTTGCCAATATCCTCGTAAAGCTGGTACTCGTCGGTGAAGCGGGTGCAGGTCACCGTGGTGGCCATGGCGGCGGCGGACGGGCTCGGCGTGCGCTCGGCTGCGCTCGGGCGGCGACTCCGTCTCCCGCTCGCGGGCACGGCGGCGACACGGGCGCGGGCGCGGGAGACACCTCAGCTCGCGGCGCCGGGCGGGGGCCGGGCTGGGCTGCGCCGCGCGGCGAGCGCACGCGAGATCTGCTCGCTCGGTCCCCGCCAGGAGCGCGCCGCACACCTACGCGCGGGGAGGCGCGGGCGCCCGCTGTCACCGCCGCCGCGCCCGCCGGGCCCGCTGCCTTCTGTAAGCGCCGCGCCCGCACCCTACTCACCCAGCTCCTGCCTACACTCGCACACGCACCGCACCAGTGCCCTGTACCTGCACTCGTTCCCGCGCCTGCACCCGCACGCGCGCCTCACCCTGCACCCGAATCCCGCCTGCACCCCGCACACACTCCGCGCCCGCGCCTGCACCCGCACTGCGCCCGCACATCGCACTAACAGCCGTGCCCGCGCCCCGCCCCCGCACTTGGGCCGCACCCGCACGGTGCCCGCACACTGCACCTGCGCCGGGCGCCCACCGCGCCCTGCACAGGCAACCACCGAAGAGCTGGCTCTTCCCTGGGATACCAGGATGCCAGCGACTCCGCTACTCACACACACACACAAGGGACCGCATACAATGAACCCAGCCTCCTCTGCCCTGAAKGCTCCCTCCCCTGGGCTGCAGTGGGGAACTGGTGTCCACATGGAAGATTATTCGTGTGCCATACCCAGAGGACTCATTCCTTACAGTCCCATGAAAAGACGCTGCCAGACCCACCCTGCCCAGTCTCTATCGTTTCACATGCACAGTGGTTTCCTGCTTGGCCTGGCAGAGCAGCCCAGGGGCTTCCCAGGCTGAGCACACACCAGGGTGAGAGAGTGGGAGGGTGAGAGCTGCCCCTTTTTTTCCTTCTATGATTGACTGCTGGGGTATCTGAAGTCCCAGGAATGGACATTTGGAATCCAGGCAGAGGGACCTTGAGCCAGAGGTACAATGACTGCTCTGTCAGGGACTCTGGGGTCCTGACAACTTGAAGTCACCAGGCTTTGTCCATCTGCTTGCCCCCTTCTCTGCCCTGGAAGGAGAGAGTCCACTCTTCCCCTCTCCATCTCTTGAAAGTGTCCCTGAAGGCCAAGGAGGAGTTGAGCACAGGCAGGGAAGAAGGGAGGGTGGAGGCAGGACCCACCCTGTTTCTTCCAAAAGCCTTCCCCCAGGGCAAGCACCCACACTTTCTGATGGGATGGGACCAAGTCTGTCCCAGGCAGGCTCTGAGGTCAGAGTCTTCCAATCAGTTCTGGATAGGGCCAGACTGCTGTCCTGAGATAGAGTCTTCCAATCAGTTCTGGATAGGGCCAGACTGCTGTCCTGAGATAACCTGCTTACTGCTCCCCAAGGGCAGATTCTGGGCTTGTCCAGCTGGTACCTCAACCCTAGGCAAGACCATGCCTACCCCTGGAAACCACAATGTCTCCTGGATAAAGGAGCTAATGAGGGTTCTGCAGAGGGCAGCTAGGGTCCTTCCCTGCTAGGATGCATTTGGCACTGAGCTGCCTGGCAAGGAGTATGCGACATGGCAAATCCCTGCCCTGGTCAGAAGATGGATAGCTAGAAGATGAGGGAGATGCACAAGTTCAAAGCAAGTGTGGTTTCCAGGTAAAACCAGTTGAGGCAAAGAAAGCCTGGCCTTGATCTCAGCAAGAAGGAAAAGCAGGCAAGAAGGGATAGCAGTTTATGCCTCAGCATTGGGCTTAGACATGGAGAACCCTAGGCCATTCTAACAGTCACAGGTTGGGGGACCAAGGTTTGTTCTTGGGATCTAACCCCATAGGAGCCTGTCCCTGCACCTGCTGGGAGCAGCTGCATTGTGCCCTTTCTGAGTTCCARAAGGAGGAGGCAGGGCTACACATAGAGCACAATTAGCAAAACAAACAAAACAAAATTGCACCCCTCTGTAAGTCAGACTCCAAGCTACCCAAAATCACATGCACTCCTACCGATGAGTTCAGATACAAAGTGATACTGGAACTTAATGACAGCAGACATTGATTGTTCTTACATGCATTTTACATGTTTTCTTATTTATTTTGCGATCTTATGAGGCATGTATTATCATTATCCCATTTTACTAGATGGGATAACAAAGAAAGAAGTGAGGTAAGTTACATGGCCACAAGAAGTGGCTGGGATTCAAACCCCATGGCCCAAGAAGCCTCCCTTAGCTTTAACTTTCTCACACAAACACACATATACAGATACACATATATACACACTTACTGACATACATACAGAAACACATGTGCATGCATACACATATAAATGTAATATGTACACAAACAATGCACACAAACACGTGTGAATATACGGTACACCCATACAYAAACACATGCAAACACACACATCTATACATACAGCTTCTTGAAGCCCCAAATGAAGACATAGTAGCATTCTGGGTGGTCTCATATGAGGTCACCTTTCAAAAAGTAGGGAGGCTATSCAGGATCAGGGTTACACAAAAAGTTGAAATCACTAAGAGGCACAATTTGAGGTCCACTGTATCTCCCCCACCTCTGTTTCTGTTAGCACCTGGGATGCCCAGGAGCTCTCTCTGGGCTGAACATTAGAAATCAGGTGGCCCTGATGAGGACAGGAAAGTCAGAGCAAGTGGGCACTAAACAGTGAGGAAGGGTTCAGCTACCAGAGGCAGCCAGGCTGTCCCTCCCCATACAGAACAGCCCACTCCTGCCTCCAGAGACAGAGGGTTTCTCCCTCACAGGGCAAAAGATTGGAATGAAGAAATGCTTCCAGCTATGACTCTTTTTGGTCTGGAATCCAGAAGCCCTCTCATTCCCTTTGACTCTATTCAGGCCCAAACTCTCCTCTCCTCCCACCCCACCCCCTCTCTTCAGGAAGGACCCTCTTCCACCCCCACTCCCATGTCATCTCTGCCTCCCACCTTGTCCTTTCTAGCTCACTTTCGTAAGCAAGGAGGGCTCTCCCTCCCAGGTGGCAGCTGGGGTGGTTGTGGGGAATATGGGTTCTAGGAGGTTATTGTTAGGACAGTCACCATGGCAACGAGCATCACATCTGCAGAGCCAAAAGTGCTGCACATGGGGCTCATTCTCCCAAAGAAAGCAGTCTTCCCTGTCCCCTCACCTTCAGGAGCTGCTTTCATGTGTGTGTGTGGAGGGGGAGTGGAATGTCACTGCTCTTACCTCTCCCAGACCCAGCAGAAGCAGATTACCAGAGCAGAAAGACCCAAGTCCATAAATCCCCAATCATCTGACCCTGGATGTGGCAGCCCATTCAGGACACCATGGCAGGCATATGAGATGGGATGGGGATRGTGGTGGTGGTGATGGTGATGGTGGTGGTGATARTAACAGTGATGATGGTGTTGATGCTGGTGGTGGTGATGGCAATGATGATGGAGGTGGTAATGATTAAGGTAGTGGTGGGAATGGTATTGGTGATAATGATAATGGTGAGGGTGTTGATGGTAATGATAGTAGTGGTAGTGATGGTGATCTTGAAGATGTTGATAGTGTTAGTGATGGTGATGGTGAAGGTCTTAGCTATAATTTACAATGCATTCACCACAGGCAGAAATCATTCAGAAAGTCTGACATCTACCACTTCATATAATTTCACAACAATACTGCAGTATGGGAGCTATCATCACCTTCCTTTTATAAATGGGGAAACTTTAGTATAGGTAGACTGAGCTTGGATCACAAAGTTAGTCCAGTATTAGCATCCAGATCTGTCTTCACAGTTGATGACTTTAACCATAGTGCTTAACTCAAGAGTGATCCCTGACCTTCTTTATGCAGTTACTGTGCACCAAGTGTATGCCAGCCCTGTCCAGGCACCAAATCACATACAGACTAACACCCAAGCCTGACAATAACACGTCAAGTAGTGGTGTTTGTTATATAATAGTCCTCCCCACCACTACCTCACCCACAGCTTGACTTTCCATGGTTTCAGTGACCCATGATAAACCACAATCCAAAAGAGTTAAACGGAAAGTTGCAGAAATAAGCAATTCTTAAGTTTTCAAAAATATTTTCAGTGGTAGATGGACACAATATCTTTATTTTATTTATTTTTATGTCGTACTGAGGATCAAACGCAGTGTCTCACATGTGCTMGGCAAGTGCTCTACCACTAAGCTACAACTCCAGTTCAATTCCTAAGTTTTAAATTGCACACAGTTCCAAGTAGTGTGACCAAACCTCACACTATCCCACTGCATCCCACTGGCACATGAGTCATCTCTTTGTCCCGCATATCCACAGTATGTATGTATGCACAGAAAAAAAAAACACATAGTATAAGGTTTAGAACTATCAGAAGTTTCAGACATCCACTGGAGGGCCTTGGAACAAATCTCCCACAAATAAGGGGAACAATTCTATATAAATTTAAAGCCGAGTGATCTGCAAAAGAGTGACAGAGTGGCACCTTCAGAGTGGGTGTCCATGGAAGGTTTTCTGAACTGGTGACCTGTAAAATGAGGTCTGACTGAGAGAGAAAGTAGCCTCAAAAGAATAAACAGGAAAGGTTTGACAGAAGAGGCAACCATGCAAAGACCCTGCAGCTGGACCAAAGTGGTATGTTTAAGAAAGAGAGTGGAGAAGGGATGGGGTTGTGCTCAGTGGTAGAGCACTTGCCTAGCATATGTGAGGTGCTAGGTTCAATGCTCATCACCACATAAAAATAAATAAATAAAATAAAGGTATTATGTCATATATATATATATATATATATATATATATATATATATATATAAAAGAAAAAAAGAGGGTAGAGAAAAGAGAGCAAGCAAAGTCCCCACGAAATTTTATACATGGTTCATCTACAGATTCTCTCTGGCATCTAAGTCCTCTAAGGGATTTGGGCCACCTTAATGATTAATAAGCAAAGTAATGAACCTTCCCAGTCATCACTTGGCATCCACCACTGGCCCAAAGGCCCTCCTGAGAACATCGGTCAGGAAGTTCAGACTCGCTTTCTTCTCAGTGGGCACCATCATGTCAAAGAAATGCCATACCTCTGGGAGGCAGAGGGAAGTGAGGGMGACCTTGCTAACTCCACTCTTCCA